TTTGAAGGCAACATTTTCTTGAATTTTTAAGTACTTTCGTTTGGTAAGGAAAAAAATATACTTTAGGGGGGGTAAAATTTTGTTTCTGCCCTTATCATGCGAACGCGACTTCAAAGCTTAAAAAGACATAAGAACGAAAAGTGAAGCTTCTCAAGACAAAAATAATGACATATCAATTTTAAAAATCGGCCGTCAAATAACCAAGTTACAACGAAAAAACCATTTCGGCTGTATTTCGGAGGGTTAAAAAAAAAAAAAAAATTTTCCAGAACCCTCTCAACATAATCTTTAAATTTAGGGGCGGACATTAGCAACTTTTTTTTCGACCCAGTCTAGTGTGTATAAAAGGGTGCGTGTGAGGTTAAGTAAGCACAATACCATACACATATCCGAGCATCGATTTGCATTTGTATTAAACTTGTGTTTACATGTGTGGTTCACAGCTGTGTTTATTGAGTAAATGTATGTATGTGCGCTGCAATACTCGTTTGTTTGTTTGCTTGTTGACTCATGCGATAATGAGCATGCAAATGAGAATATGATTATGAAAATTTTTGCACACATATATTTTTTGCAGCAGTACTTTTTAGTTCTATTCGTACTTCAACAAATTTCTAATAATTTTTCTCTCTTCTCATTTCAGGGTCATCCTGGCGTACACGGCCCCAATGGCCAGAAAGGTGAACCAGGCCAACCAGGTGTGCCGGGCATGGCAGGTGCACCTGGTGCTCCCGGCCTGAAAGGTGATCGTGGTCTACCTGGTGAATTGGGACCCATCGGGCCACAGGGTCCACCTGGTGAAGTCATATATGCGGATAATTCTCTTAATGGTACAGCCGGCCAAGCGGCAGGACAGTGTCAATGTCCAGCGGGACCACCTGGCCCACCAGGAATTCGCGGCCCACAAGGCTATGAGGGTCCACCCGGTTTGAACGGCGAGCCTGGTCCAGCTGGGTCGAACGGTTTGACCGGCCTGCCTGGCTCCAAAGGTGAGAAGGGCGAAAAAGGTGTGCGGGGCCTGAGCGGCCCAAAAGGCGATCGCGGCCCTGAAGGACCGCCAGGGCAGGCCTTTTTCGCTGGCGGTTACGAAGGCATGGCTATGAATGGCACCAAGGGTGATAAGGGCGAGAAGGGTATGCGCGGACGACGCGGCAAACCGGGCCAAGCTGGACCGATCGGACCGCCGGGCAAACCAGGTCCGATGGGCGATATTGGGCATTCGGTAAGTGGAAATTTATGGTTTAGATTATTTTGTAAAGTATGGAATATTGCATTTTTAAAAAGGTAAATTTTTTCTTATAGTTTGAGCGAGTCCATAGCAGTTGAAATCGTACTTGTGTGCGGATGTATTTTTTGTTAAATTTGATAAAAAAAAAGTATAGCTTAAAGCTAGATTTGCTTAAATGGCTTTAGCTAGGACAAAAAATGGGGCGTTTTTTTATTCTTTCACTGGAATGCCGTGGTAAACAACGTCCTAGTGGACCAAGAAAGGAGAGGCGGCAATATTATCACCTACGCTGACGGCGTGACACTCATCGTCAGAGAAGAGTTTCTGGGTAGTCTCTATGATTTTATGCTGGATACTTAGGCTTATTCACTTTATTACGGAATAACGTAGTTAGCCTTGTTAACTAGAAGAAGTTAAGTGCCTGTTAAGAAGCTTCCCTCAATCAACAAAATTTCACTTGTGCTCCCTGAATATGCCAAGCACTTGGGCATTATCCTAGGGAGCAAGCTTTACTAGTTGCCATTTATTGAAAAGCTCTACATTTAATTAATGATCCATGGGGAAGATGCATGACCACTCTTAAAACGAAACACATTCACTTCATGAAACGCATATCAGTACGATTATATTGTAGGTGGTCATTGTTTGGAAAACGTCTCTCAGGCAAAGTTACTGAAGTCCTTCTTGGCCGGTAGTCGACCGTGGATGGTCAGAGACGCTTTCTTAGCTCGATAAGCACCATATCTTGATTCTTACAAAATTAATGAACAAGGGAACCCATTCGATACGACCCAGTATGACTTTTCCGTAGGTTTTAGAAGATGACGGAGTTGATTAATCTCAGCATTTTTTTCTCAGTGACATTGCTTCGATACTACCAAAAGTCTCTGTCATAACTCTATACGGTTTACCAGCAGTTACCGGTCCACGAAAATACTATATTAAATACTAACACAATCAATAGTTATAGGAGCCTTGAGTCAGCTGCTCGCGGAACTGCCTTGCATAGCCTAAACGAGCAAATCTCACGAGTAGTTTTTTTTAGTGTCAATTCCTTCTCTTGCAAGAAAAATAAATGCTTAAGCATTATTTTTACATATATTTCAATCAATGGAGTTCCAGAAAAAAGTACAATAAAACATAAATCAAGTATTTGAACAATTTTGACCTTAAAATGTTTATTTAGGCGAAAAAATACCGAAATTACCTTGTTTTGTCAGTCGAAAAAATCATAATTGTTTTTTCTTTTTTAATAACTTTGGGAAGTTTTCAAACAGATTATTAAAATTAAAGGCAATGGACGTTGGCATCAAATACAACATATCTGTGAAGTTTCAAGAGTGTGCAGTATGCGGTATATCTGTCGTAGCTATTTTTTGGCAATGTTACGAATTTGTTTTTAATTTTAGTAATTTAGAATACTTGAAAATGCTAAAACTAAACGTTGAAAATGTTCTTCTTTTAAAACTACCGAATGTAGGGTAATAAAACAAGCGTGCCGCCAAACGAAAATAATTGCATTGAGTGAAAGATGACTAGTATTAGTTGAGAAACTAAAATTCCATTTTTACAATTTTTATTGGCACACTAGAAATTCATTCATTGTTATATACATGACGAAAGTAATAAATATACGCATAGAGAATACTGTGTAAAAATCTTCCACGCTAATATTAAATTTTTTTTTTTAAATAATGTGATTTTTACGTTAAAGCGTGCGAGTAAACCTGTTAAAGGGGTGCGTATGGTGTTACGGGGCGTATACGTTACATACACAACTACGGGTATAAGAGTAAGAGTAGTCGTTTTTATTTTTTTCTAGTATAGATTTTTTAGATTTTCATTTAAATACAATTTCGCGCTGAAATCTAGATATTTACACAAAAATTAAGACAATGCCTTTTTAAGAAAAATGTGCCACCATTTTCGACCAAAAACAAGTTGTAGTCGAAAAACGTAACAACTCATTAGAGCCTTCACCATGACCCTATTTTTCATCTACCCTTTAAACATACAGAGGAACTGCTTTCATATTGATCCATAACTTTTCAGAATAACAGCAGATATTTCGTGCCACACCTATGTATGCTTTCTTGAACGGCTTTAAATGCTTACTCATTCGCCCTGTTAACGCTGAACAACTTGCTGAAACTTTCATACTTTATATTTAAGTAAAGTACCCTGAATCCCAACGAAATGTGGCTGCATTGGCAAAATAGAGTCGCAAACTGGTGAAATATTCATATTAAGTAAAACAAGTATACTCCACTTTGAAACAATTGTAACCACCAATGCCGCCAAAGTATTTTTGTGCTACCCATTGCACAATTCCACGCTACTCGATTGCGAAATATTCTTGCAGCCAAGCGGTTATGTGGAAATTTGTTGTTCCATTTTCCTCTGCTCTGCGGCTTTGATTCATTTTGACCTTACCTACTACGTTCGTAGTTTAAGCAACAAATTCGTGTATTTCGTTTCTTTTAAGCTTCGCTCCTCTTTGGTTTTGTTGAAAACTTTCCATTGCTGTTGGCTACAAAGTCGTTGGCGCTGCTTTTGAGTGGTTTGGTAAAATTTTGTTTTATTTTATTTTTTTTTTCAAATATTTTGCATTTATTTTGTAGCAAAACTAGGCCATTTGCGACAATTTGTATGGCAACTTTCAGAACAATTTGTTTTCTTTGTTGATAATTGAATGTTGTTAGTAACAGATTGAAGGAAAGTAAAGTCTTCCTGAGACATTTTAAAGCTAATTTTATACTAAAGTTATAGTTTAAATACTGTTTACGTTTAAGAAGGTGTAAGTCACCTAACAAAGGCAAATTTTTTCGTTTCAGGGGCGACCTGGACTTACAGGGCCTAAAGGTGACATGGGCAGCAAAGGACAAAAAGGTGAAAATGGCGGACGAGAAGGGGTGAGTAACATTTTGCAGCAACTAACATGTCTATCGTTCGTTCTTTTATTTAGTTATAGTAAATATGTATTTTTAGTTGTGAGAGAAAGTTTCATACTTTCACGCGGTGATATACTATGTAGCTGTCCCTGCGTGCGCCCTTCGTAAGTGACAAGTCAGCACATTCCTCTTATTGCGCATCCCAGCGTTAACCTGCTGAACCACTTGCCATTATAAATGAAGTTGTAGAGGTCCTAAAAATCTAACTGCAATAGGCTGTTAAAGAAGTTTGAAGCCAGTCAAGACCTCAAATCTCTTAGCAGAGTTTTTAAATATTTTGGTCTTTTCTTAAATAATGTTTTCTTTCTACGACACTTTCTTTCTAAAAGATAAACTAAAAAATATGAAACAACTGTAAGAGTATATAATAGACCTGCAATAAGCAATATTTTAAGTCAATGTAAACTAAGTATAAGGACTAAACTTCTTTAAAGTACCTTAGCTGATAGAGATCAAGAACGCAGTCATATATAGTAGAGTTAAGTGGCAGCCGCAAGTGAGTGAATAGTAGTTAACTAGTGAACCCGCATTGCGTCAAAAGGCCCAAAATTTAATAACAAAAATTTTAAAAATATTCGAGTGCCATATTTCATTTAAATTCCGGGCAGCCATTTATGAGTACAGTTTCAGATTTTAATATCTCCGAAATTTCACATCACCCAGTACCGATAAAAAAGTTGCAACATCAGAAACTAAAATTTTAACCCATATATATATACATATATAGGCCAAGGTCTTTATTCCACCTCTCATACTTAAAATTGGAAATAACGGTGCAAATCTAATGACCTTCACAAAAAATTTTCTCTCGTATAATATACGTATATACCTAGTTAGATCACTATGACTTTTCGAAAAGATGGCAAGCCTAATAAGAGATATTTATTTATGTCTTCGAAATTTAATTTTAATTTTTCAAAAAACTTGTGTATAAGTAAGTTGACTAAATTCGACTATCAAACAGGTGGAAATCCCTTTTCAAACGTATTTTCAAGCTAAACCCTTTTTCAAACATGTGGCAACCCTCTAAATATAGTTGAGTAATAAAGCCTTGTCAAACCCATTTCGACTGCTACCAATATTTTAATAATTTATATAGCTTATTAAATAATTTGAATTTAACTTTTTTAAAAGGTGGCATCCCTCCTTAAACACCTTAAGAATATTGTTAGTATTCAAACTAATCCTCTTCAAAATATTTACAAACTATCACCTTCTTAAAAACTTTTCATCTAGCGCCCACATGGTGATACATATGTATGTCCATTGCCTAATTTCCTTAATTTAAATTTAATTAAATTTTTTAAACAGTTGGCACCCCCCTACAGTACATTTAAGAAACAATGTTTTTTAAATCTTTTTCGATTGATACAAATTTTGCAATAATTGATTTAACTTTTTAAATAATTTCATCTTAATTTTTTAAAAGGGGGCAACTCTTTTCGGAAAAGTAAAACCATCTATTGCCCGCGACCCAGATTTGCTAATTAACTGGTCTTTCCGATTTTGGGAATGAACGATGTTCAGTGGCACTCTCTGCCTAGTCAACGCATCAAAACATAAACAATTGCGGTATGGAAACCGGCAAAATACTATTCAGAAGAGGCACAACTAAAAAAAAAAAATTTAGATTTTACCTTCGGTTAAAGGATATTTTTTCTTCACGATTATGTTGTCGATGGTTGGTTTAACCAACCGACCATATTGTCGAACTAGAAAACTACTGTCACGCCTGTCTTTTATTAAATTTCTGGATATTATTTTTGAGTTGTGCCTCTTTTGAAAAGATTATGCGATATGTGGTGTACCTTTGTATACACGGACAGTAAACTTTCACTACAAATTTGAAGAAGGAAACCACTGCCCAAAAGATGCGGCAGAAATACGGAAGCCAAACTAAGAGTTATACTGATAAATTCTGACAGAATACATCTCTTTCAACTTGATCGTTCAACATCCACAAATATATTTATTAGGGCTAGCTGGTTTAAACTGAGTTAAAATGATTGACCTAATTGGTTTGAACAAAGGTTATCCAATCAAAGGCTAGCCAGCTTTTCAATATATGATCGCAGTTTAAGTGATCTAAGTTTAAACTGACACTGAAAAAGCGGCCCATTGGCTTTTACAGCAGATGCTGTGTTATGACACTTAGGGCCGGTTACTCAATGTCTGGTTTACATTAATCTTCGGTTAAACATCTTTATCGACGTATTTGACTCCATGCATACAACAGGGAGTTGGTTACGTCGATAACGATTAGGTAATGTGCATTTGCGCTGCTGGGCATAAAGTTAAAGTTTTCAGAGATTTCCGTGTATTCGAGGACGTCCAAAAGGTGGCATAGAATGGAAATATGCTAGGGTGAATACAGAAAAAACTATGCACTTTGACATGGTCACCCATTGAACTTAACCCTATTTAAAAATATTAGAAAATAGGAAGCAAAAAATATACAGCCTGGTTAATCATAAATTTGCGACATTATTATATAAACCTTACTAGTTTTCAGAGAGATGGAGAGAATGTTCTCAGCTAGGCCGAGGATACCTATGGTGACCTTGCGTTCGTTGACTGTGTCTCGTCAGAGAAGAAATTTTGCAACTGCCGTGTTTGGTCTTCTCAGAAAATGGTTACTTGCTTTGTGGATATCAGTACTACATCAACGGTTTTAATGAATCTCTTTCAATAGAGCCTTGATGTACCTGAGAGTTTCACGCAACATTTGGCTCTGTAACGTACTCTGGTCCAATTAAACGCTCACCAATTTATCAGCTAGTTTTTTGGACTTTATCATTATAGTGTTCCAGTACCTATGTACGTAAGTTCAATGTACATAGCTCAGCCTCAACTTACATTACTTTACAATCTTTGAAAAGATACTAGTAATTTTCATGGCCTCCAGAGCAGCTTGGCTGTCACCCCTATTTTATATGTATCCGCTCAACCTAGCTCAAATTAAGTGTACAGTCTACTAAAATTCAGTGAAGTAACCATGCAGAAGCCACCCAGCTTTCACTTTTAGTCCTGGAGCCATCTGCAAAGAATGCTTTTACTGAGTTATATAGAAGAATATCTGGATCCCCTGGCAAACTTTTTCACTTTCTTCCAAAAAATACTACAGGTATCAGTCGACACATCGGGCCTTATGCATAAAAAGTGAGCTTAAGCTCAGACTCAATTTTTGCACTGAAAGGGTGAGCTCAAGCTCAAGAATTTGTACTGAAAAACGAGTCGGAGCTTAAGCTCACTTTTTATGCATGAGGCCCATTGTCTTCAGTGCTTCGTCTTGAGTAACAAATCCAACAAGGAATAATGAGCCGCTGCTCTTATACTCATAGCGCGACTTTACATATTCTTTCCTCACCTATTTAACATAAAAATTGTGGGTTTTACAATGGTCCTACACTACCATAAATACAACAAAAGAGTTGCACTATGAAAGATTTTGCTGATGCTTCTCGATCGAATTGTGAAGCGGAATGTGCCGGACTTGTATAAAATACATATTATCTATAACTTCAGTGTTCTGTAAAGTTCAAGAAAGAATCCCAAACTATACAACTGGATTAACTTAGCTTTTAAAAAGGTAATAGGTTCCTTCAGCTTGGCAACTTAGTAGAGAAACCGAGACTTCTTTTCCTGTTATTTCTTAACTTCGAATTCGAGCCGCAAGTACTTTTCTCTAACGATCTGTTTTATCCTATACCGGATGGAGACTAGCTCAGTTCACACTTATCTTTCATTTGAATTCTTGTGCGAAGAAAAAGATAGTTCCTGCTTATGAACCCAATTTCACACAAACTCGTATTTGTAATATTATAAATATTCTTGCTAATATTTCCATTTACTCTTTTCAATGCGAATAAATACCACCACCGCTAATAAAATTTTAATTTGAATATTTACGTTTATATGTATACCTACATACACCAATCTTTTATCCTTTTATAAGATCAAATTAGCATTTTCTTTAAAATGTAAAGAAAAGAAAAACCCAAACCAAAACTTCCCGTTACTACAGTGCCAACAACTTCTCTTCGCTTCCTGCCAATGTACATAATCGCCAACTACTTTGTGACTTAATTTAAGCAATTAGGGTTATCACTTAGAGCACAAAAGCTTGCACACAAAATAAAATTCTCACTTATTAAGTATTTCGTAAGCAAAACTTTAGCCGTAAACAAAAATTTTGTTGTATAAACAAACCGGCAAAGGTAAGCAACGACCATTAGAAGAAGCGAAGAGTTGCAGTGCAAACAAGCCGGCAGCTGACGCAGCGCATAACGAACACATCAACAAAGTGAACGAGCGAAGCGAACTTAATAAATGATTTTAGCGCTAATGTTGACCCCAATGAATGCAGCCAAACCCATTTTACTTGTAATGCATTCCTAAAATGCTATGAATATCTATCTTCCACATCGTGCAACGTGCAAAATGAAACAACCATCCGCAGTCATCGTTTTAAAAAGCAAGCGCCAGCAGCAAGGCGCCAAGTAACGCTGCTGGCCAATAGGGGCGAGTACGTTTATGTTTTGGATGCATTTGTGAGCTAAAGTGATAGAGACTGCCTGCTATCTCTCTTGCTGAAAACCAAGAAATTTTAATAACAAATTTTAAAAATTTACAATTTTTAGACCTGTTTGGCCAGAATGTATTGAAATAATTAATATCTTGGACTCTGTAAGTCATAGAGTTTTTTAGAAATACATTAATTATAGAAATTTGTCTGCTTCCAATTTCTGGTCACTTATAAAAATTATGCAGCAGCGAACTAGGGCCCAATTCTGTTAGTTCTGCCTTTTCTGTCTGTCTGCTCACTAACATTTTCGCGATTAAGCTGGGGACGGACAGCATAACCAAGCGCAACTATGAAGAATTCATTGACCGGCAAAAGCGTTGAGCAGCACTTAAGCCAAAACAAAAACAAAACAAAACACATTTTTGGTTGCAAATAAAACTTGCTCACACACATACATAATCACAAGTACAGCTGTGTGTGTATACATGCATATATAGTACATATAAACCTAAAAAATTTATTTTGTGGTAGAATGCGGCAAATTCCACTCTTCATAAAACAGTGAAAGTTTACGT